TCATATCATATCACAGCATAACATATCATACCAGATCATATAATACCATATCATGCCATGCCATGCCATATCATATCGTATCATAACATGTCATAGTACCTCAACTCACCTCATGACATATCATATCATACCATATCATATCATATCATAGAATTTCATAGCATAGCGTAGCACAGCACAGCACATCACAGCACAGCACAGCACATCATAGCATAGCATATCATTTCATATCACATCACATCAGATCATACCATATCACGGGGAACTGGGCCCCCGGCCGCGGGGGCGGCCCACTTCTTCAAACTGACCCCCCCCCCGTTACCCCTTGTTAGCTTCCGGGGGAGGAAGGGGGGCGGCGACCCTTCGCGGGGCGCTCCGGGGGTTGGGCCCGCTGCTCGGGGGCCGCGAGTCGCCCCCCCTGACGGAGGAGCAACACACACCCATACACCTTAGGCGATGCTTAAGAAAACCTAAGTTTTCGGCCAGAGTCTCGATTATTCTTAACGTTTCAATGTAAATCCTAAGATTTGAATGGAAATTTTGGGTTTCTACTCAAGTTCTGAGACTATGAATTTCTTACCCCATGATTTCTTAAGCATTTCGCAGGGTGTACCCATAGTGGGGTCGTTGGGAGGAGGACTGGCTCTGGGTATGGGTGCGGGTTGTCGGACCCTGGGGAACGCTCCCGTTCGAGCGGGGACCCCCATCCGACAACACGCACCCATAGCCCTCTCCGACCCCTCCATGGTTATGGGTGTGTGTTGTTGGTTCGTCACCCCCGGGGAGCGATCAGACAGCGGCTCTGGCGGCCCACGAGGGTCGGGCCAGACGAAAGGAGGGGATTGTGAAAGGGGGGGGTCGGAGGCGGATAGACCTCCTACTCTGACACGTCGAGAAAGGATTGGCCGTTTTCGGTTCGCGAGAGGGCGTCGCGGCCGTCATTTTTGCGGGTCCAGGTCCGTCGGTTTCGGTTCCAGGCCGTTTTCTCTAAAGGGGAGGTTTACTAAAGGGAGGTTTGTCCACCGCCGAGGGTTACGACATCTGCTGCATGCAGCTGGTTTCCGCCCCACCGAGGGAAGATCAGCTACGTGAGCTGATCCTCAACCCCCCCCTCTGCTATCCCCCCCTTTCGCCCGGCCCGAGAGCGCCCCGAGCCACCCCGAAGACGGCCTCCAAGGGTCTCAGACGGCCCAATAAGCTTTCCAAGCGGACCAAGGGGCCCCCAAGACGGCCCACGAAGGCTCCAAGAGGACCCCGACGAGTGCCCCAAGAGGCCAAAGCTATAGATTGTCCCAGTGTTTGAAGGATTTGGACGTTCTTACCGCTTCGGGCTTCGAACGCTCCTGGAAGGCTCCAGAGGCGCCCAAGAGCGCCCCGAGAAGGCCCAAGAGGGGCCCAAGAAAGCCCAAAGACGGCGTCAGAGACCTCTCGGGAGCCCCAAGATGACTCGAGAGGGCCCCAGGACGGCCCAACAGGCCCCCCAAGACGGCCTAAGAGTGGCCCTAGAGCGGCCCAAGAGGGCCCCAGGAGGGGGAACACGAACTCACAATTCCAGCCTTCGGCCCCCCCCAGGCCCCCAGGAGGCCCAGAGAGGCCCCGACGAGATGCCTCGAGATTCCCAAGGGGCCCCCCTAAGAGGCCTCGAGAGGCTCGAAGGTGGCCCCAAAGAGCCCCAAAACGACGCCCAAGAGGCTGTACAGCCGCCCTCGACGAGGTTCCCGACGGGCTTCCCGCGAGGTACCCGCGAACACACACGAGGCTCTTGACACGCAGCCCAGGCGCGCAGGCCGAAGGCCAATATACACATGTACAACCGTGCGTACAGAGAAAGCCATACACGCGTACATATTATGTATCTATATACACATTCACGTTCACACATATATACATATATATATATATACATATATATATATATACATATATATATACACAGATACATATACATACATGTACATATATATACACACACACACATGACGGGGGGCCGGGCCCAGGGGCCCAGAGGCCACGACCTCTACCACAACTAGGTGGCCTAGGGGCCAGGCCAGCTTTTGGGGGCCCCAAAAGCCCCCCAGAGAGCGGTCAGACGGGCGTCACGGCGCCCAAGGACAGTCGCGAACCACTTGCAAAACGGCTTCCAGGAGTGTCAGGCGGCTCACAAGGCGTCTCGAACGGCGCCTGAGGCGTCCAAGACGCTTGAAGACCCCTCTAAGAGGTCCCCATCCCCCAAGGGGACCCGACGAGCAAGACTCGCCCCATTCCTTTTAGCTAGTATAACGTATATTTCTAGCGTGTTTGCTTTTTCGGTCCTCGTACCGTCCTTGACGACCTCAGAAGCCCCCAAGACTGCCCCAAGAGGGCCCAAGAGGCCCCCAAGAGGACCCCAAGACGGCCCAATAGGCTGGAAGCCACGCGCGCGCTCGAAGCGCGTGCGTGGCCAAAGAGGGCCCCAACATGGGGACGAGATGGACACAAGAGGAGGAACTCGAGCTACCGTTTGGAGCCATCCGCCCCTAAGATCCCCCCGACGCCGCCAACAGGACCCCACGGGGCCCTACGACGCCCCACAAGAGGCTCACAAGAGGCCACCAAGAGGTCCCCAAGATGCCCCTGGGAGGCCCCCAGGAAACCCCCAGGAGACCCCCCAAACGGGCCCCTGAGAGACTTCCCAAGAAACCTTCATGTACATCTACGAGAGGCCTCTGGTCCACAACCTAGGCCCGTTCCTGGGGCGCCGCCTGATCGGCACAGGTTTCGTTTGCGTGCGTATGTATGTACATACGCGTGTATGTATGCATGCGCGATTGTATGTCTGTGTTCATGTATTTACGCATGTCGTAGGAAAGAGAAACCACTAGCTCGGCGAAGGACGCACCCCTATGCAGCTGCGTGTAGCGCAGGACGCGGCTCTCTCTTCAACTAGTGCGCGCCGCGGGGCAGACCAGATACGGGGTCGCTGCAGATCTAGCGCGCATAGGCACGCTGAGCTCATTGTGTGGCGCGATCCGCGTGAAGGGGGCGGCCGCCGCGCGAGCGCGCCCACTGAGGCCATATGTGGAGCTCCTTGTGGAGCGCGATCCGCGTGTAGCGGCGCCGAAACATTGCCCTTGGGTGCCATAGATGGATATCCTTGCGGTGCACGATCCCCATCAGGGGTGTGGCGACATATGCGGAGGGACGCCATGCGACCCCTCCTGTTGGAGCCGTCGGTGGAGCTTCCTAGGGGGCGCGATCCGCGTGAGGGGTGTGACGAAATGAGCGTGAAGACGCGATGCGAAACGTTCTCTCTGGGGCCGTAGGTGGAGCTCCCTTTGGGCCACGATCCCTGTCAGGGGTGTTCTGCTATGGGTGGAGCAGATGCGAACTTTGTGTCTGGGGTTGCCGGGACACGATCCGTTTGAGGTGTGAGTCGATAAACGCGGGGAGACGCAATACGAATCCTAGGAGGGAATGAAGAGGGAGAGCAGGAGCAGGAGCAGGAGCGCGGGGAGGAGGAGGAGGACGAGGAGGAAGAGGAGGAACAGAAGAGTGATGACGAGGGAGGGGGCGGGGGAGAGGGCCGAGGTGGATTTAGGCTCTGCAACGCCCACATGCAGCGGCCTTCGCAATGTCGCCGATCAGACGAGCGAAAGCGGGAGCCGGAACACTTGGCGCAGCTGCGACTAGAGCCTAAGCGCGCGTGGTTCTAGTTCTTCTTGGAATGTAATTGAAATTGAGCAGGTCCCAGATCCAGCTGATTCGAATTTGATTCCTATTGGAATTTAATTCGAGCTGAAGTGGAATTGGGCACATCCCAGATCCAGTTGAGTCCACTTGGGATTCCTATTGGAATTGAGTTTAAATCTAATTCGACTTGAGCAGATCACAGATCCAGCTGATTACAATTATATTCCTAGTGTAATCGAATTAGAATATGATTGGAATGGAGAAGATCACAGATCCAGCTCATTCGGAACGAGAACCTATTCGGAATGGAGGAAATCCCAGATACTGTTGTTACCAATTGGTTTCCGATTGAAGTTGAGTTGTAGTACAACTCGAATTCGGTAAATCTCAGATCCAGCTGATTCAGATTGGATCTCGATTGTAATCGAACTAGAATCTAATTGGAATTGAGCAGATCCCAGCTCCAGCTGATTCCAATTAGTAGAATCCTATTGGGATTTAATTTGAATCGAATTGAGGTGGGGCAGATCCCAGGTTCATCTGGTTCCAATTTGATTCATATTAGAATCTAGTTACAATATAAAAGGTGGTTTCAATTAAATTCCAGCACGAGAAAACTGTGGAGAAGTGATGACTCGGAAAAATGGCTGAGCAGGCACAAGTGAAAATAAGCCAGCTAATCAGTAAGAGTACGAATTAAGAACGCCAATACCGATGCAAAATGAATGGGTGCTGGGGGGAGGGGCTGCACATATTCATATAGACATCTCTAAATCAATGTTTGCATGTATGCATGCATACATGCATGCATGCATGTCTGTCTGTCTGTCTGTCTGTCTGTCTGTCTGTATGTATGTATGTATGTATGTATGTATGTATGTATGTATGTATGTATGTATGTATGTATGTATGTATGTATATATGTATATGTGTGTGCATGCATGCATGCATGTATGTACGTATGCAGGCATGCATGCATGTATGTGTATATGTATGTATGTATGCATGCATGCATGCATGCATGTATGTATGTATGTATGTATGTATGTATGTATGTATGTATGTATGTATGGATGTAAGTGTTGCGCATGTGTGTATATGTGTGTATGTATGTATATACGTGCGTGTGTTTGTGTGTATAAACGCATGTGTATTGATACACGTGTGTCTATAGAACTATGCAAATGTAAATACACCTGTCTGTATATATATATATATATATATGCATACACACGCCTTCCTGCCCAAGCCAGGAGGGCGACTGCACCGGTCCTGGGCCCAGGATGAGCCTGGCCAGGATCGGTGAGTGGTTGGTGCCTTCCTCCCGCCAGGCGCGACGGGGCCGCGGACGGGGCGAGCGAGGGGAGGCCTCGGGCCGGCGACGGAGAGGCGGAGGGGGAGCCTCGGGCCGGCGGCGGGGAGGGCGAGGCGGCCGACGGGGACCTGGACGGGGACGAGCTGGAGGAGTCAGGAGGGGAAAAAACACACAGACACAATTAATCGGCGATTCCCAGAAAATATAGGAAAATATGGGAAGTGGGGGGGAAGACAAAAACCCAGAAAATATAGGAAAATATGGGGGATCATTTTATTTGTGTGTATTTATTTGTGCGTCCCAGTTCCCCTTCAAGGAGGGCGACCTGGACGACGCCGAGGGCGAGGCCTCCGAGGAGGAGGCGGCCCCGGAGCGGCGCATCCCCCTGATCGGGTCCGCGCCCGCCGCGCGGGGCGCGGAGCTGCGGGAGGGCTCCGAGGTGCGCCTCCGGGGGCGGAAGGGCGCGCCCGAGCTCGCCGGGCTGGCGGGCGTGTGCGAGCGCCTGGATGCGGCGACGGGGCGCTGGCACGTGCGCCTGGCGGGCGGGGAGCTGAAGGCCCTGAAGCCCGAGCACCTCGAGGCGGGCGAGCCGCAGTCGGGGGAGCTCTGCGGTCCCTGCCCCCTCTGGAGGGCCCAACGGCTCCTCGATCCCAGGGCTGGACCTATAAACGCTGTTTTGCTGGACTGCGGCTGTGTTTTGTTTTTCGTCTTGGGAGGGAGGTACAGGAAAACAGGTAGAGCAAAACGAAACACAAAACGAACACAAAGCGACAAACAACGTTTAGGTTCAGCCCTGTTCGATCCCATCTCGGGAGATCGTCGATACGATGGGTTCCTCCAGGGGGTGGAGGACCACAGCTATACCCGGGCTGGGGCTGGTCGTCGAGAGGCCCCGCCGAAGCGGCGCCGGCTTGAGCAGGCTCGCAGGGGCGGCAGGAAGCGGCGGTCGGACCGCAGCAGGTCCATTGGAGGGCGCAATCTACCCAGGCTGCCTGCGTCGTTAAGAATTCAGGACGGAGGTTTTTTACCGTTTTCGGCCTCTGGAGGCCCTCGCAGGGCCCCGGGACCGTCCAGAAGCGACTCGGGATGAGAAGCCGGTGCCGGTAAAGGACCGCGCGCTGAAAAAGTCAGAGCATATCTGGGACCAGACACCGCCAGCGATCTCGGCCGTGTCCGCCCCAGCCTCAGGATCGGTGCAGATGCCTCTCGCTCCAGGCAGGAGGGCGTGTACACGGGTCTTGGGTCCTGGACGGGCCTGGCCAGGACCGGGCGGGGAGTAACTTGGCATCGCTCGGGCGTGTGCATTTTCTGCGAGAACCATCGAGGACCATCCTGGGCCATCGAGCAAAAAAACACGCACGAAACCGAAAAATGCACGGGAAGTGGACGTCCGAGCGACGGCAAGTTAACGAGGGGGTGACCTGCACGGGGGGTGAAGGAGAGGGCCCCACATGGGGCCCTTTGGGGCCTTTGTCTTCACCCCCCATGCAGGCCACGCGCAGAAGGGGGTAGGGGGAGGGGGAAGGCTTCTTTGAAGCACCCCTGCTTCTTAGAAGGCGCGGGCCTTCTTTGTAGATGTAAGGCCGGCGCCTTCTAAGAAGCAGCCTCCTTCTAAGAAGCCTTCCCCCCTCCCCCTACCCCCTTGTGCGCGCCGCCAACCCATGCAGGCCACCCCCTCAGTACCCCCGCCCGGCTGGCCAAGATCTGTGTACGGCAGGCTCGCGTCGTGTCGACTGGCGGCGACGCCGCCGCGGGCGTTCAAGGTTGAACGCCGCCAGTGGCCCACCATCGGCCTACATGGACGATCGGGCGATCGGAAACCCGCCGATCGTTCAAGGTTGAATGATCCACACGGTGTCGGAAACACGGCACGACACTTCACTCCCCCCCCGTGAGCCGTGAGGTCTCTCGGCTGGATTTGCGGACAACTTCGCTCCGCTGGCTTTCCAATGGCGACAGTTGCGCACTTCGCACCTCCCCAGTGAGCAGCAAGATCTCGGCTGGCGTACAACTCCACACTTCCGCGGGACCTCCCAGGAAACCCGGGAAAATGGCGACAACTGCGCAGCTCGGGCAAGACAGCGCGAGCCAGGGTCGTCACAACACGAAGCTGCCGTATGCATATAGTTGACGCCCTCCCAGGTCCAGGGACGATGGCGCGCCGCCGCCCGCGGGAGGCGGCGGCAAGGCGCCCACGGCGTCCCAGGGCGTCAAGAAGAGCAGGAGCAGGGGCGAGTCGGCCTCGGACGGGGAGGGGACCGAGTTGTTCTCCGAGCTGAAGGGAGGCAGGACCCGCGGCCACCTAGGAGGAGGAGGAGGAGGAGGAGGAGGAGGAGGAGGAGGAGGAGGAGGGAGGAGGAGGAGGAGGAGGAGGAAGAGGAGGAGGAGGAGGAGGAGGAGGAGGAGGAGGAGGAGGAGGAGGAGGAGGAGGAGGGGGAGGGGAGGGGGGAGGGGGAGGGGGGGAGGGGAGGGGAGGGGGAGGGGGAGAGGGAGGGGGAGGGGGAGGGGGGAGGGGGAGGGGGAGGGGGAGGGAGGGGGGAGGCGGAGGAGGAGGAGGAGGAGGAGGAGGAGGAGGAGGAGGAGGAGGAGGAGGAGGAGGAGGAGGAGGAGGGGGAGGGGGAGGGGAGGGGGAGGGGGAGGGAGGAGGGGGAGGGAGGAGGGGGAGGGAGGAGGGGGGGGGAGGAGGAGGAGGGAGGAGAGGAGGAGGAGGAGGAGGGAGGAGGAGGAGGAGGAGGAGGAGGAGGAGGAGGAGGAGGAGGAGGAGGAGGAGGAGGAGGAGAGGAGGAGGGGGAGGAGGAGGGAGGAGGGGGAGGGAGAAGGGGGAGGGAGGAGGGGGAGGCAGGAGGCGGAGGAGGAGGAGGAGGAGGAGGAGGAGGGGGAGCAGGAGCAGGGGGAGGGGTGGAGGAGGAGTTGTAAACCTAAGACGCCTCAGCGATGTTGCAACATACGCTCCCTTCAAGTTTCTTGTTCATTGGGTTCTGCAAGAGTTGTTCTCCATTGCGTGAAAACTTTTCAGACGAATGCGCGCGACGATTATGCGAGAGCCACATTTTGCAAACAGCCCGCCCTCAATCCGTGAAACTGTTGCAACTTTCAAGCTTACGGATCGTAAGTGGTGAGGAAGTCCCAGGCGAAACGCCCGGCCCGCGCTGCCAACACTTCTGGGAGTGCGACAGGGAGGAGTTATTCATAAGGAAGAGGGATGGACCAGGGGGAGGAGGAGGAGGAGGAGGAGGAGGAGGAGGAGGAGGAGGAGGAGGAAGAGGAGGAGGAGGAGGAGGGGGAGCAGGAGCAGGGGGAGGGGTGGAGGAGGAGTTGTAAACCTAAGACGCCTCAGCGATGTTGCAACATACGCTCCCTTCAAGTTTCTTGTTCATTGGGTTCTGCAAGAGTTTTTCTCCATTGCGTGAAAACTTTTCAGACGAATGCGCGCGGCGATTATGCGAGAGCCACATTTTGCAAACGGCCCGCCCTCAATCCGTGAAACTGTTGCAACTTTCAAGCTTACGGATCGTAAGTGGTGAGGAAGTCCCAGGCGAAACGCCCGGCCCGCGCTGCCAACACTTCTGGGAGTGCGACAGGGAGGAGTTATTCATAAGGAAGAGGGACGGACCAGGGGGAGGAGGAGGAGGAGGAGGAGGAGGAGGAGGAGGAGGAGGAGGGGGAGGAAGAGGATCATTGTAAACCCCAGACGCACCAGAGGTGTTGCAATACACCATCCCTCCAAGTTCCCTCTTCCCAGGGCCCTGCAAGAACTGATAGCCATTCCCGGAAATGCCCCATTGGAAAACAATTGCCTCATAATTCGCAGTCGTGCCAGAACGCCATTCCTGGACTTCAGAGTCGCGAGTCAAGATAACTGCTGCGTCCTGACAATCCTCAACCGTGCCAGACCACCATTCATTTCTGGGACTTGAACACCGCGCAAACAACATGTCGAATGCGCTCTAGCAGTCCTGAATTTTGCCAGAACGCCGTTCTTGGGACTTCGATCGTGCTCATCCCTGAAACTGTTGCAAACTTCAAAACGAATGAGCGCTGCGCGAAGGCAAGAGCCAGCATTTGGAAACAAGCGCCCTTCATCCGTGAAGCTGTTGCAAACTGTACGACTACTGTGAGCGGCGCTAAGGCGAGAGCCGCATTGTGAAAACGGCCCGCCCTCCATCTGTGAAGCTGCTGCAGCTTTAAGACGAATGCGCGCAGAGATCAGGTGAGAGAAAGAACTGGCAAACGGCACACCATCCATCCGTGAAGCCGTTGCAAGTCCCAAGCTTCAGGATCATACATGGTGGTGAAGCCTCAGGCGACACGCCCAGCCCGCGCTACCGACACGCCTGGGGGTGCGACAGACAGGAGTTAGTTATGAAGACGAGGGGTGGAGGATGCCGAAAACGAGGAGGAGGATGATGAGGGGGATGAAGAGGAGGAGGACGACGATGAGGAGAAGGAACAGGAGGAGGAGGAGGAGGAGGAGGAGGAGGAGGAGGTTCGGGAAAAGGAGGAGGAGGAGGAAAAGGAGGAGGAGGAGCAGGAGGAGGAGGAGGGAGGAGGAGGAGGGAGGAGGGAAGAGGGAGCAGGGCAGGGAGCAGGGAGGCGGGAGGCGGGAGGAGGGAGAAGGGGAGGAGGGAGGGAGGGAGGAAAGGATTGAGGGAGGGAGGAAGGGAGGGAGGAGGAGAGGAGGAGGAGGGGGAGGAGGAGGAAGGAGGAAGGAGGAGGAGGAGGAGGAGAGGGGAGAGGGAGGAATGGAGGAGGAGAGGATCCCCGCAGGAGTGCGCAGGCAGCGGAGGCCGCAGGGGCGGCGGAGTCCCCCGAACAGGGCGAGGAGAGCGAGGAGGCCGTGGAGCTCTTCGTGGACATCAAGAAGGCGGCCAAGGAAAAGGCCGCTCGCACGGCCGCCCCTCACCCTCCTCGCCCTCCTCGTCCTCCCCGCTCTCCCCGCTCCCCGCTCCTCGCTCCTTCCTCCTCCTCCTCCTCCTCCTCCTCCTCCTCCTCCTCCTCCTCCTCTTCCTCCTTTTGTCGATCCTCACGTTCTTACTGAATTAGGTCTCGAATTTCAGCAAATTTCGCCTGGCATCTCTTGGGAGCTAGAAGAGTTCGAGCTTCGGTCCGTTATTATGAGTAGGAAGGACTCTGCCACTGGTCCCGATGGTATCCCTTACAGTGGATGGAAAAACGGAGGCCCCATGGTACATCAGTGTCTGTATCAAGCTTATGCTGCCCTTCTCCGTGGTCTCGCTCCCCCTATTGGCTTCAATCATGGCTTACTCGCTATCCTTCCTAAGGTTGACGCTGCTGACGGTGAGGCTAAATCTATCTTGGAGCCCAAGCAGACCCGCACTCTCACCCTTAGCAACACGAACAATAAGTTGATCTCTATTGCCCTGGCCATCCCGTTCCAAACACAAGCCCAGTTCTCCGTAGTATCGTGTCAACGGGGGTTTCTTGGAGGCCGCAATCTCTTGGACAATGTTGCTGAGTTGGAGTCTTGGGTGGTTGAATGGGCCTGCTATCGTGGCCTCAGGTATCCTGGCATGCTCTTTTTGGATATTGCTGCTGCGTTCCCGTCGGTTCATCACTCCTGGATCTTCAGGGTCTTGGACGGTTTCGGTGTGCCTTCCAAGATCGTGAATGCCATCCGCATGCTGTACAACAACATATATGTGTCCGTCGCTTTTTGTGGCTCCGTATTTCCAGGTTTCCATATTTCCCGTGGGATGAAGCAAGGGTGCCCTCTCTCTTCCTTGATTTTTGGTCTTAATATTTGACCCTGTTGTGCGTGGTCTTCGACGCCGTCTGGAAGACCACCCTGCTTATCCTCTGGCCTGTGCTGATGATATTGGCATTGCATCCGGTGACCTCTCTAAATCAGTTCCCGTGGTGATAGATTGGATGCAGCATACAAGTCACGCCACAGGCCTCAACCTCAATTCCCGCAAGTGTTGGATCGTCTTTGCCATGGATGTCGACCTGGCCTCCGTCATCAATGAGTTTGTTTCTCTTCATGTGATGGACTCCCGTGTTGGGAAGTGTGCAAAGTATCTGGGTGTTTATCTTGGAGTTGACGGAGCCGATGAATCCTGGAAGGCTCCATGTATTAAGCTGCTCGAGAGGGTCGCCCACATCCGCTCTCTGAAGATTTCTATGATCCAGAACATTCGCGCATACAACGTTCTCGCTCAACCTGTGCTATCTCATATTGGTCAATTCTATGTTGTCAATGATCGTGTCACCATGACAGAACATACAGCCCTGCAGAGGCTGGCGGCCTCTCCCAGACACGCCATCTCCACTTCGCTACTGAAGAATCTGGATCAGCTTGGCTTTGATACGGTGCCTCGTGATATCACTTGTGAGAACCGTGCTGCTCTATTTCGATCTGCGCTGCGTAGCAAGGTCTTCGATGACATCTCTATTCGATTCCACCAGATTGAGCATTATGATACTGATGTCCTGCTGCTTCCCCGCCTTCCTCATTGGCTTCAGCAATCTGTCACCCATACATGGCTTGAGAACTATAAGAGGCTGGTCGCCATTGCCCCTTATATTGCTGAAGATGATGTGCACGAAGTACAGAAGAAAGTTTTCAGGCTCTTGGGATCCCAGCGCGAGGTTCCTCCCGTTGCACACCTTCTCGGGCCGCGGATTCGATACTTCTGGCCTGAGGCTCCCTGGGAGATCGCTGATGCTGCTTTCAGGTACATTCACTTCCTGGTCAAGCTCGCTGGCCCCTTCGCGGACGTCTCGTATATCAAGACTATCTGTAATGCCTGGCCAACAACTCGCAGGTTCCGTCAAGGGACCCAGATTTGTCGTTTTGGTTGCCAGGCCTTCTTCGGTGATGCTGTAGATCACTACCTCCACTGTCCTGCTTCTCTGAGTGTCCTGCCTGTAGTTTTGCCGAATCTGCCTCCTGACTACACCACTCGAACCAGACATGAGCATATGTTTTGTTTTTTGGAGGCCCCCGGACCAGTCAGAACCTGCTATCGACTCTCCTTGTGCATGATATTCTGCTAGCTTCTTACAGCACTTTACGCGCGCAGGACAGATTCGGACCTGTGTGCCTCTCTGCTCTCTTCCGCGCGCGTGCGCGGGTGCTGGCCCGCCGACGCGCGGGCATTCGAGATCTGCTGCAGCGAGCTGGCCCAGCAGGCCCGCCCACCGCTGCCGCCGAGAGAGACTGATGGACTGCTTGTCCTCTTCTCGTCCTTCTCTTGTCCGCCTGCCCTCGTCTCGTCGCTATGCCCTTGCGCTCCTCCTCCTCCTCCTCCTCCTCCTCCTCGCTTCGGCTCGCGAGGAGGAGGGCTCCCTCTGGGTGTCTGCGTCGCAGGCAAGGGGGCCCCCCCCTCGTCGCTCGCTGGCCGCGGGGGGCGGCGGCGCACCACAAGGCGCGCTCGCGCCGCGCGGAGGGCCGCGCCCTCTCCCGCGCCTGGTCAGGCAGATCATCGCCCGAGCTGCAGGAGCGCCTGTGGCGCGCGGCGCGGCGGCTCCAGGAACACCCCGCGGCTCGTCGCCAGGCAGGGTGGCGCCTGGGCCGCCCGAGCTGCGCGTGCTGCGGGGCCCCAAGATGCCGTTCTGGGGCTGCTCGTGCGGCAAGGAAAACAATAGGGCATCGCGCAGCACGTGCTCACGCGGGAGGTCGGCACCGCGGCGCGTGGTCGATGCTGCCAGGCTGGCGGGCCAGGGCCGTCGTGCCGAAGGGGGAGCCCGTCCTCCTGCGCGAGCAGGCGCTGCCGCCTCAGGAAAGCTGCTGCGGGAGCCGGCCCCGTGGTCCAAGGAGTACAACGGCGGGCTGGAGGAGCAGGCGCGGGCGCTCACGAAGCAGATGGCCAGCCTCACGCAGCGTCCTTCGACGACGGCTCCTGGTGGCCCAGCGGCAGGAGGCGGCGGCAGCATCAGGAAGGAGCACGACGATGGCGACAAGAGCGCGTTCCACCAGAAGACGGTGCTGCAGGAGAAGATAAACTACCATGAGAAGGCCCTCAAGGAGCGCAGCAAGGTGAAGGAGGACGGCGGGCCGCTCCATCTTCTCCACCGGAAGGCCTTGGAGGAGCTCCGAGGACAAGCTCGCGCGCTGCGGCCCCCAGAAGCTGCTCACAAGGCGACGGCGCAGAAGCTGGCGAAGTGCAGGCAGCAGCTCGACAGGTACGAAGCCGACCTCAAGGGCCTCCAGGAGCAGCTCGCCAGCATCAGCCAGAAGATCACCGACAAGCAGGAAACGATCGCGGCCAAGAGGGCTGAAGTGGAGGTTTTCAAGGTCGAGGCGTCTCGGCAGGAGCGCGAGCTGCTGGAGGCTCGCGGTGAGCTGCCGACGGCGCAGGCGAAGCTGGCCAGGCTCACGGCGAAGGACCTCATCGCCTACGACACCGACGAGGATGAGCTGCCGGTGCAAGCACCTGAAGCTCATGAGGCGCTGGCGGTGTTCAAGGCCGGCCCCCACTTCGCCAGGGTCCAGGAGGCCCTGTGCGAGAAGGTCGATGGGCATCTGGCTTCGGTGGTTGCTTCAGTTCCTGTACCTGATCGTGACGATGACGATGATGATGCCGACGGAGGTGCGACCCCACCCGACGGTCCACTGCGGCGGCGATGTCGATATAGAGCAAGGCACACCCCCTAGCCGAGCTGACATGCGAGACGCCACGGCGGTCCAGCTGGTTGAGTTCGCCAAGGAGGATGTCGAGGCCCTCTGGAACATCCTCAGTCAGCAAGAGCAGCCAGCCTCGCAGTGGACCAAGGAACAGCTCCACACCGCCATCGGGGGCGTCCAGAACACCAAGCACCGACGAACGGATGGAGGGTCTGTTCGTGCTGGGGGATCGGGTGGGCGACGCGAAGACGCTCGTCAGCGGGATCTGCCATGGGCCCAAGTTCCCTGTGCAGGAGGTTCCCACGATGCTCGCGACGACGCACATTTTGAGACATTCAATGCGCGCCAGGGTAAAATGACTCTGCAGCGCAGGCTCCGCACCACGACTGCCATGGTCGTCCTGGCGCAGGAGATCGGCTATGGCGCTCGCGGCAGCGAGGCCCTCAGCACTTGGGCGGCAGCAAATCGCTGGCAATGTCTCGTGGTTCCAGGGCGCGCAGTGAGAGGGCATCTTCCCTCAGCTGGGCTTGCAGTCTGCGCCAGGGAAGGGGTCGGACTTCGAGGGCCGACTTGCCCAGCTGACGCCCTTCCGAGGCGCGCTGGCGCCATCGGCTCCACGGTGGCCCACGGCTCGGAGTAGGTGGCGGGCAGGGCGCAACGCGTAGCGGTGGAGTTGCCCATCCGGCCGCCCATCGACGTCCACAACCTCTACTTCCATGCGGCAGAGGGGATGAGCGCCCGCAACACGAAGATTCTCATGACGATTGGGCCGGCGATGGCAGGCCAGATTCACCCGTGCATCATGGGGGGCGACTGGAACATGGAGGCCCAGGTGGTTCGTGATATTACCTCCCCTGTGCAGGCGCAACTTGAGTTAGCGGTCCCAAGGCGCATCGCCTGCAGGGCGGCGTCTTCCGTGTCCACGCTGGACTACATCGGGCTCTCGACGGGGGCTATGCGAATGTTGGCGTCATGCAGTGTGGATCTCAGCTGGGTCGCCGAACCTCATCGGCCTGTCCAACTGCGGCTTGTGGCAGAAGGCTCCAAGGTCAGGTTTCTGACCTGCGCGGGAGGACCGCGGCTCGCCTCCCAAGTCATCAGCGGCCCTTTTGTAGAGGAGGGCAGCTGGTCGATCGAGCGGAGCTTCGCGACAGAGGCCTTGAGGATGGCCAAGGAAGAGACGGCCATGGTGGCATGGCGCTTTCTCTCCAAAGCTCGGGGTCGGTGGGCGGTTCGTGCTGCGGAACGGATCGGACACCTCACCGGCACGGAAGCACGCGCCTATTCATGCG